TGTATATATATATATATATATATATATATACATATGTATATATATATGTATATATATTTTTTTCTTTCTTGGTACCACTTTACAATAAGGCTCCCTTATAGATGGCTAATAAGTAGTTTATAGATATGTTATTAATTCCTCTATAAACAATTTATAATTCATTAATAACTGCTTATTATGCATTAATTAAGGATGAGAAAGAGTAAAAACTGACCAGTTTTTTTGACAACTAGTGAGCCAAATCTGTTCACTTAAATATTTCATCTACAGTTGTTATATTAAACATTTCAGACTGAGTTACTACCTTGTAAGCACAATAAACATTTGTAAACCTAATTTTTTTGCATATAATATTGTACTTTATCACTGCATTATAAGTATTTATAGTTGATACTTATAATGCAGTGATAAAGTCCAATATTATCCATCCATCCATTATCTTTACCCGCTTATTCCATTTTGGGTCAAGGGGTCGCCGGTGCCCATGTCCAGCAATCACTGTGCGAGGGGCGGGGTACATGCTGGACAGGTCGCAAGTCCATCACAGGGACACACAGAGACAAATGAGACAAACAACCATTCACTGTCTCACTCACACCTAGGGACAATTTAGAGTTACCAATCAGCCTAACATGCATGTTTTTGGTCTGTGGGAGGAAACCGGAGTACCCGGAGAAAACCCACGCATGCACGGAGAGAACATGCAAACTCCACCCAGAAAGGCCCCTGGACCGGGGTTTGAACCAAGGACCTGCTCGCTGAGAGGCAGCGGCTCTACCAGTTGCGCCACCGTGCTGCCCGTCCAATATTATATGCTAAAAAAATAGTTTTACAAATGCTTATTGTAATAATGCCTTATTATAAAGTGGTACCATGTTATCTTCCAATGATAAACCGAAATGTGTTCTGGTTAGGTCATGTTTTTGAGAAATTGTGTGCCTGCTCATGTGCTTACAATAAAACCTCCTACTGTTTCATTCATTTACCAGAATCACAAAAATAACAAAAGAAAGACAGTAATATTAATCAATTAGTCACCATATGTATAAATATGGTTATTCTTTGTATTGAGCACTGAAATCAACCAATATACTTTTAAAAATTAGTATGATTTAATTTGTCATAATTCCTGTTAGCTGAGATGTCTATTACGAGTCAGACTTTACAAACTGTACTCCAGTACCGTAGATTAAACTATAAGCATTGTGGAGGTAACTAAGGTGAGTGTGAACACAGTTGAACCCGGAGGCCTCCACCCCTGTTTAACGATGGACGATTTCTTTTCACAAAGATGGCCTCCTTTACTCCTCTCTCAAACCATCGTTCCTCTCTGTCCAGGATGTGCACATCTTCATCCCTGAAAGAGTGACCGCTGGCCTGGAGATGAGTGTAGACCACAGAGTCCTGGCCTGATGATGTTGATCTTCTGTGCTGGGCCATCCTTTTGGCCAGTGGCTGTTTAGTTTCCCCGATGTAAGACTGATCACAGCCCTCCTGACACTGAACAGCATACACAATATTACTCTGTTTGTGCCGGGGGACTGGATCTTTGGGATGAACCAGTCTTTGCCGTAATGTATTTTGGGGTTTAAAAGCCACTGGGACGTTGTGTTTAGAAAATAAACGTCTCAGTTTCTCTGATACTCCCTCAACATATGGAATGACCACTGGTCTGGGTCTGGGTTCCTCCTTTTCACCTGATGGCTGACTGGAGTCCTGTTTGGGTTTCTTCTCTGCTTTCAGGAAGGCCCAGTTAGGATATCCACATTGCTCTAGAGCCTGTCTTGTGTGGGATTTCTCCTTCTGCCTGGCTCCTGAGCTAGTGGGGACACTGTCTGCTGTGTGGTACAGAGTCCTGATGACTCCTAACTTGTGCCCCAAAGGGTGATGGGAGTCAAACTGCAAATACTGGTCTGTGTGGGTGGGTTTGCGGTACACTTCAGTTTGCAAATGTCCTCCATCAGGGACTGAGACCATACAGTTCAAGAAAGCCAACCTGTCATCTTCTACAGCTTCTTGTGTGAACTTTATTCATCCACAGAGTTGATGTGATCAGTGAAATGTTGGACTTGCTACCACTAATAAAGATAAACTTCCAGTGTCAGCTGGTAACCTTTACTGTGAAAAGCGTCATAAGATAAGATATGATTTTACAGAAGGTAGAGGAGTCTTATTTACAGAATACAATACTGACATGTGAACCATCTGAAATGTTGGTTCTGGACAGGAACTAGCTCTTACTGGATAGAAAGAAGAGCTTAGAGAAATTGGAGTTGAAATGAAGAAGGAAGTGAAAAACACAATGCTTTGCCTTTGGCCTCGAAATGAAAAAAATCTATCTCTGCCAAGCACAATAACTGCAAACAATCTAAACATTTTTATCTAATTATTTTTTATGCTTTACTTTTATATTAATCCAAACAACTGAGAAACTCAAGCAACCTAATGCTTAGACTACTTTTTATTTATGTTTTTCATGGAGTCAAGAAACTAACAGCGAATACAGCCACTAACGTTTAAACTGCAGTTTAAACTGCTCATCATTCTTGACCAATTTTAGGTTTAAGTACCCAGAATGATAAGTACTCAGAGTTGCTGAACTTGGCAGTAAGCTGCTTCGTGTTTGGCAAATACTTCATAAAAGATCTTTATGTAAACATGAAGGTAATTAAACACCCTCAAACACAACACACCAATGAAAGGAAATGTTAAAATGCTAAAATATTTTACATTTTACTCATCACAAGGCTGTATGGTTTTTGTTTGTATGTAAAATTGATCTACGATCTACACTGATTTCATCAGGGTCTTGGAGTTGGGCGGAGATAATTAAAAAGTCAAAGCTGATTGGTAGAAATGTATTAAAGGAACGCCCATACTGTGCAGTGATTAGTTCAAACCCAGTAAGCTCCGCCTATGGGCGGGGCCTACCGCTTGTAGGACGTTGAAGCGCTGCATTCGTCGAAGGTTGGATTCAGAGGGTTTCTCTCCTCCGTGGTGGTAAGATCTATCAGGACCGAGCGAAGGGACGTAGCTGCTGTTGGAAAGAAGATACGAATTAAAATACAAAGAAAAGCCTCGCTTTTTTTTCGCTTTACCGCTGGATACCTAACTCGCCCTGGGGTTGGATTAATTTGAGCCCCACTTTTTTTAGTTTTTTCTTTTTAATTTGGCTCCAGAGCTCAGCGCCACTCGAAGACAATGGGATCCCAGTCATCCAAGGGAGAGGTGGCGGCGGAGGCGAGCGCCGCCGATGCCGCGGCCGTGAAGACCAACGGACAGGTGGGTCCACCTCCAGCGGCCTCGCGCCACACACACTCTAACATTCAAACGGACACTTGTAGCTCGAGAAGTTGAGCTTCTCACACAAAATCCTTTTTTTTTTTTTTTTTTTTGGTCCCATTTTGTCGTCTGTGAATTAGATGAAGTTATGGGGGCAGGTCGGGGGGGGTTCCCCTGATCACAAATGATCCCCCTGACCAGTGCTCAGAAATTCGTTTAAATTATTCAGGTGTAAATGTTTATCAGCGACTGACGCAACACCCCCCCCCCCCCCAACATACTTGATAAAGGGGGAGATAAGGGGGTGGGGGTGTAGGTCCGCTGCACGTAGGCAGTTTACTACTGACAGATTCATGTTGTCATCCACACGCTGCTTTATGAAACGGGACTTTCCTAAAACACTAATGATTCACGTTTCATCGATGTTCCGTTTTACCTCCATTATGAATATGAATTATCCTCACAGGTATCAGATTAATTAAATGCATGTTGAACCACGGGGGATAAATTCGTTCAACCTTAAATAAATAAATATTTATGTTTTTTTTATTTTTTTTTATGTGTTTTCGCGGTTCTGAGTGCCTAATGTTAATGATCAGTGGACGTGTTTTTATCCTGGTCTTTGTTGGGTCCAGGTCTGTCTGGTTCCCTGTCGGTTCACGGTGCGCCACCGCCGCCTGTCGGCAGGTCAGGGTACTGCAAGGCGTCGCCTTGGCACGGTGGTTAATTAATGAGGGCCCTGTTATTCTGAGACGAAATGACAACAAATAAAAAAGTGTATTGATTATATTAAAACGTGTTTTTTTTTTAAATACCTAATGACTAATTGGGATTAAATCTTTTTCACTTTTAGGAGAACGGACATGTAAAAACCAACGGAGATGTCTCCACAAAGCCTGACGGAGATGCTGCTGCAACCAATGGCTCAGCCGAGGCAGCCAAGGAGCCCGAAGCCGGGGCGGGGGGCGACGCCATTGAGCCCGCACCTGCCGCTGACGGAGAGGCTGCCAAGCCTCCGGGTGAGGCTGCTGCGAAGGAAACCCCCAAGAAGAAGAAGAAGAAGTTCTCCCTGAAGAAGACCTTCAACTTCAAGCTCAACCTGAAGAAGAGCAAGAAGAGTGACGCCGTGAAGGAGGAGGCTGCCGAGACTGCCGCCACCCCCTCTGAGGAGAAACCAGCAGAGAACGGCGCTGCCGCTCCAGCAGAGGAGAAGAAGGAGGAGGAGGTGAAGGAGGAGGCTGCTGCTGCAGCTGAGGCTCCCAAGGCGGAGGAGGGGGCCGTCAAGGAGGAGGCACCCAAGGAGGAGGCCAAGGAGGCAGCTGCTCCAGCCCCCGAGGCCACCAAACCAACAGAGGAGAGCAACTCGACCCCCGCTCCCTCTGAAAAGAAGGAGTGATTGTACGGTCAGCTCGCAAACAACTGTGGAGAACTGTTTTTCAAGAGAGAGAGAGAAAATAGAGAGTATATATATATATTTATATATATATGTGTATATGTATACATATGTATATGGATATATGTATATGTAAATATATACACATGTATGTGAAAGACTCCTTTGACGTGCCACTTTTCGTCATAACAAGACGGCAGACTAGATTCACTAGATCACTTCCCTGGGTACTGCTCCACATCTGGACTGAGGTTTAGGCAGCGAGTGGATTTGACCGGCCAGAAGGCCCAACTACTGACACCTTGAAGTGGAGCTGGGCGGAGGACGGGTGGAGCTAAGGCACGTTTTCCCTAAAACGTCGTGCGGAGGAAGACGCCTCCTTGCTGATGGACTGAGGCTGGATGAGACTGGGACGCCACCACCACTTGAAATGACTGTTCATAGAAAAAAAAAACCAAGAACATTAAATCAAAATTAAGAGACTCGTCAACTTTTTACATTCCTATATTTTAACCCAAATTTGAAGTATTTTGTGGTGTATTATAGAGAAACATGTCGAAGATTCAGAGAAGCTGAAAAGAAGCAAAATGGCCCGTTTTGATTTTTACCTTGCTATGAGAAAAAGAACACTTTAAGCTTGCTATGTTCACTGTTGCGGTTTCATATGAAGCGGAGTTGTTTATCTGTCGTGTGTGCGCCTGAATCTGCTTTGTCTCTGTAAATACATTGGGTTCATTTCTGTTCTTTATTTTGCTAATGTTGACAGATGTTACTGGTTTTATTGTAAAGTTGATAATAGTAAATAAATGTTGGTTACCTGCCTGTTTGTGTGTCTTAATTATTCCCACCGTGCGTCACATTGAAAGCTTTTATAAAACCAGAACGGACATTTTGTCATTTAAGTGGCATTATGTAGCATTCATAGAAAGCATAACGTCTTCTAGTTCAGATTCTTGTCGTTCGCATCACGTGGTACATGAGGTGGAACAAAATTACGTACACAGGGTCCCAGTTACACCCATCAATAAAACTATAAATCGTAAATGAGGATCCAAGGCGTGTCAAACTCACAAAAGGGTCAAAATCCGATTTCAGAATCTACATCAGCTCAAATCAGAAGGCCAACATGGTTTCTTGGTTGCAGGTTCCTCAAGAGTTTATTGGGCTCATTTGATCTGTTGTGCTTTCAGCATCATAATCAAAGATTACTGAAAAAATGCAAGAGATAGAAGTATTTTTTGTTTCACATATCATCTTCAGGGCCAGATAAGATGTCAACGAGGGCCACATTTGGCCCCCGGGCCTTGAGTTTTACACAAACGGTATGCTAAAACATCTAAGATGTACACTGAGTGCAAAACAGTACATGGAACAACAGCAGCACGATTCTCAGGTTCAGTTCGGCTTAATACGAGCAGAGTCCGGCTCTGAGCAGACCCCTAAACTAACATGGCAGCACGACGGCTCAGTGGTTAGCACTGTTGCCTCACAGCAAAAAGGTCCTGGGTTCAATCCCCGTTTGGACCTGGGGTCTTTGTGTGGAGTTTGCATGTTCTCTCTGTGCATGCGTGCGTTTTCTCCAGTTTCCTCCCACAGATCAAAAACATGCATGTTAGGCTGCCTTCAGGTCCAGACCTCCCTTGCCTGGTTAATTAAAAGGTTAATAAACATAAACTGGGATTTATTCAAAGCACGCCTACTTTTCATTCCAGAGTTTAAATCTTGTGAATGACTCGGCTACTAAAACATTTTAGCACTAAATCTGTAAAATCTGTCTTTTGGAGTCATTCTGCATTGCTAATGTTGATGTTTGCAACAAATGTCTTTTGAAAATGAAAAAAAAAAAAAACCTGCAGTCATGAATAAGTTGATCTTTTTTCACAGAGTGGTGTAGATCGATATTTCTCTGTTTATCAATAGTAAAGCGTGTTGTTAGTGAAATGAATAGCGTCTCTTGTTTGTCCCCCTCTCATCACCCCTGTTCACAGATGCCTTGCAAGTTGTAAACTAACTGAATTAATCGAGGTTATGCGGTGGTGAAAATCTGTGAACAGCGATGATGAGAGGATGACAAACAAAAGAGACTTTTTCCCCACATTCTTTTACACTGTTGTCTTAAAAAAAAAGACAGAAGTGTATTGGGGGGGTGGTTGTGGGAAATGGATGTCTGGAGAGATGATGTGACGGCCGCTGCATTCAGAAATCGGACCAGACCTGCTGCCACAGGTCCAGAATGATTATTTGTCTTCTGTTATTCCTGCTCCTCCTCCTCTGGCTACATTTTCTCCAAAGCGACCTGCCATCGCAGCGTAGTGCAAACTCCAGCTGCAAAAGTGACAAACTATCCACACAATTACTTGTACCCTGACAGCAATTATCTGCTCTGGGCCAAATATAAGTGAGCATTTGGCCCGGACCCGTAAACGGACTTGGGCCCGGGGTCCCTTGTTTTTCAATGGCCCGTAACCGGCGTGACTGCGGTAAAGTGCAGTCCGGCGTGGATCTAGGTCAGAGGTGGCTCACAATAATGTTTAATAAATATATAATTCTTATTTCATTTTGAGGCTGATTTGGTCCGGACTGGATCAGAGCCAAAACATCTTCTCAGGTGTCAGGTAGGCTCTTGATGCCAGCCCGACCCAGAGCTGGTGCATGTGCATAAACCCTCTGGTGATATGCGGATCTGGCAACTTTTACATGGATTTGGCTGTAGGTTTTGCCTGTGCAACAATTTTCAGTCAGGTCATCTGGACAGTTTCTTTTTTTACTGAAACGTTTCACCTTCCATCCAGAAGGCTTCATCAGTCAAGGAAACGCTCAACACAAAACTGATTCTCCCCCCCAAACAGCTTACTCCAAAGTGGAACAAACCAGTTATGCTGGTGCTAAGACGGTCTCTTTGGCACACCCCCTCCTCTTGTGCCAGCCCTCTTCCTCGTCAACAGTCATGTCAAACTGGTTTGTTCCACTTTGGAGTAAGCTGTTTGGGGGAAGAAACAGTTTTGTGTTGTGCGTTTCCTTGACTGATGAAGCCTTCTGGATGGAAGGTGAAATGTTTCAGAAAAAAAAAGAAACTGTCCAGATGACCTGACTGAAAATTGTTGGATTGTATACCTGGATTATTGAGCATGGACCTTTTTGGTTTTGCCTGTGCCTCTATCCCTATGTAGACACACACAGAGAGAGATGTCAGTCAAGACGTTTATAGCTATAACTGAACTGCTCAGGGGCCAGGCATCCAGCAGTTGCTAGTATTCTCATTAAGTTTGTTTGTTTTATTATTTAAAATCTAAAAACAAAAAAGGTTAACTTGTGTCATCTGGATCAGTTTCTTTAAGTGAGAAACGTTTTGTTTCCCATCCGGAGAACTTCGTCAGTCTGCGGCATTCCAACCAGATCTGCCCCATAGGTAGCCTTCACTGCTGATTTAAACTCTACAAACCAGATTCCAAAAAAGTTGGGACACTAAACAAATTGTGAATAAAAACTGAATGCAATGATGTGGAGGTGGCAAATGTCAATATTTTATTCGTAATATAACATAGATGACAGATCAAAAGTTTAATCTGAGTAAATGTAACATTTTAAAGGAAAAATATGTTGATTCAAAATTTCACAGCGTCAACAAATCCCCAAAAAGTTGGGACAAGTAGCAATAAGTGGCTGGAAAAAGGAAATTGAGCATATAACGAACAGCTGGAAGACCAATTAACACTAATTAGGTCAATTGACAACATGATTGGATATAAAAAGAGCTTCTCAGAGTGTCAGTGGCTCTCAGAAGCCAAGATGGTAAAAGGATCACCAATTCCACCATTGTTGTGCAGACAGATAGTGCAGCAATACCAGAATGGCGTTACCCAGCGTAAAATAACAAAGACTTTTAAGTTATCATCATCAACCGTGCATAACATCATCAAAAGATTCAGAGAATCTGGAACAATCGCTGTGCGTAAGGGTCAAGCCCGTAAAACTCTACTGGATGCTCGTGATCTCCGGGCCCTTAAACGTCACTGCACCTCAAACAAGAAGGCCGCTGTTGAGGAAATAACAGAATGGGCTCAGGAATACTTCCAGAAAGCATTGTCAGTGAACACAATCCACCGTGCCATCCGCCGTTGCCAGCTGAAACTCTACAGTGCAAAGAGGAAGCCATTTCTAAGCAAGCTCCACAAGCTCAGACGTTTGCACTGGGCCAGGGGTCATTTAAAATGGAGTGTGGCAAAATGGAAGACTGTTCTGTGGTCAGATGAGTCACGATTTGAAGTTCTTTATGGAACACTGGGACGCCATGTCATCCGGACCAGAGAGAACAAGGATAGCCCAAGTTGTTATCAATGCTCCGTTCAGAAGCCTGCATCACTGATGGTATGGGGTTGCATGAGCACTTGTGACATGGGCAGCTTGCATGTCTGGAAAGGCACCATTAATGCAGAGAACTATGTTCAGGTTCTAGAACAACATATGCTCCCATCTAGACGTCATCTCTTTCAGGGAAGACCCTGCATTTTTCAACACGATAATGCCAGACCACATTCTGCAGCAATCACAACATCATGGCTACGTAGGAGAAGGATCCGGGTACTGAAATGTCCAGCCTGCAGTCCAGATCTTTCACCTATAGAGAACATTTGACGCATCATAAAGAGGAAGGTGCGACAAAGAAGGCCCAAGACGATTGAACAGTTAGAGGCCTGTATTAGACATGAATGGGAGAGCATTCCTATTTCTAAACTTGAGAAACTGGTCTCCTCTGTCCCCAGACGTCTGTTGAGTGTTGTAAGAAGAAGGGGGGATGCCACATAGTGGTAAAAATGGACTTGTCCCAACTTTTTTGGGATTTGTTGACGCCATGAAATTTGGAAACAACAGATTTTTCCCTTAAAATGATACATTCTCTCAGTTTAAACTTTTGATCTGTGATTTGTGTTCTATTCTGAATAAAATATTAGATGTTGGCACCTCCACATCATTTCATTCAGTTCTTATCCACAATTTGTTTAGTGTCCCAACTTTTTTGGAATCTGGTTTTGTATTTAGTGAGTGTGTGTTTTAAAGCCTGAAGCTGTTTAAGAAAGCAGCCACATCACAGTTCTGAAGTGTAGAGTGCACTTTGTGTGTTGGAGCTATCAAATTGTTTGTTAAGTGTTTACGCCTGGTTAAATAAAAGTGAGATGAAAAAAATAAACGAAAACATCCAATAGCAGTATCAAATTTATGGGGGGGGGGGGGGGGGGGGGGTGAATAAAAGGTTGCTTCCTTATAACTCCATTTTACGGCCCTAATTGCTTACAAGCAGCTGAAGTGTCCTTCTAAGCTAGTTATGCTAATTTGTAAACTGATGGAGACGAGGGTTTCCTCGCTGTTTTCACCGGCTCCTCCCAGTCGGGCGGTGCAGCCTTTGTGGTTGGCTAACGCGAGCTAAGCACCACCTTTCCGCCGCGGCACAGAAGCCGGCGAGCAAGCAACGAACTCAGTGGGTAACTGGTGTAAAATGGCGCTGTCTCAAGGAACAAAGAAAAAAGTTTGCTATTACTATGACGGTAAATGCTTCTTTCAGACGTCTCGATGTCTCAGATTATTAAAGGGACAGTTGAGGCGTTTAGAAGTTCCGGGATTTATTCGTGTTTTACGTTTTCTCATGTGCAGTACGGCGAAGCAGACGAGCCGGTGTACGAGCTAACGCTAGCTTGTTTTAGCTGCATGGATTGAGTTAGCTGTTAGCCCGAATGTGCACGGACTGTCTGGTCCTCTGTTCAGTTTCAATGTGTTCGACCACCATTCATTTGTTGTCTAAGTTTATTGTTGCATTATACCGGTTTATGATTTGTTGGCTGAACTAAGCCGTGTAGGAGGAAGCTTAGCATGAAGCTAACCGGCGATGGTCACACACTGTTCCTCTGAACTTCCGAGAGAAGTGCTGAAAGATGCACGGTGTCCACTTTAAATATGTGGCGAAAGAGTTTTAATACACATTTATACAGTTTATATATACAGCATGCTTGTGCCTTTCATTCTGAATAAATGCAATTCTCTAGAATGTTTAATTTAATGTTACTGGAAGCTAATACTCAAACGTGATTTACTTCCTGCTTCTTTATACACAGTACTGTACGAGTAATTAGAGCTCCAGTGCAAAGTTACCACATCAGGTTTAATGCAGGATGATATTTGTTTGCACAGTGCGTTGCATTATTATAATTATGATGTATATCAATAATCTAAATGATCGCAAGAACCAATCATCCTCACTTTAATGTCTGCTGCAATTAAATTGAGCACATTTTGAATGGAGTTTGGTGGGACTATATCACAGTATTAAGCTTTTATAAACTGGTTACTTTTTGTCTTACAGGTGATGTGGGAAACTACTACTATGGTCAAGGCCATCCCATGAAACCCCACAGGATCCGCATGACGCACAACCTCCTCCTTAACTATGGACTTTACAGGAAAATGGAGATCTACGTAAGTGAGCACACGCCGTGCAAACCTTGCAACTTGTCATTATTTATTCGTACCCTACAGCTTTAAGTGTGAAATGTGAAACCATATATCAAGGTTCAAGTATCTTTACTGGCATTCATTCACATCATATGTGGTCAATGAGGTGGAACGAAACTGTTCTCAAGGTCCCAGTTACACCCAAAAATACCAATAATCTTTATAAAGTATACATAAAAATTAACAGTATACGAGGGTCCAAGATGTAGACTAACAATAATAATATAAATAAGGTGTAGTAAACAGCAACCTGAGCATAAATCAGTTGTGAGCTGATGGAAAAAATATGGTGGGGCACAGCGTTGCAGCGGTTTCTCAGGCTCCCGGCGAAAACTGTTATTTTTTGTCCAGCAATGTTCAGTTAGGTTACCTGGACTTTTTTTTTTTAATTTTAGCTGAGATGTTTCGCCCTCTATCTGGAAGGCTTCATCAGTCTAGTTTTGTTTGGTGTTTCCTCTTTCGGATGGAGGGTGAAACGTCTCATCATACACACACACAAAAAATAATAAAGAAACCGTCCAGATGACCTGACTGAACATTGTTGGATTTTATACCTGGATTATTGAGCATGAACTTTGGCATTATTTTTTTGTCTTCGCTCGCCTTAAGCGTGTGACGTCTAGCTGAACCAAACTTATTAGCATAAGATATGTCAAACAAAGTTAAGTCAGGTCCCCTGGACGGATTCAAATAAATAAAAAACTTTAAACGTTTTCGTCTTTTATCCAAAAGACTTCTTCAGTCTGAGGAGCTGCACTACACTCAGTCTTATAAATAACACCTTCTCGTAGTGGATCAACCAGTTTGATGTTGACAGCCAGAACTAGCTGTTCACATGATAAAGGACCACCAGCCTAACGACCGATGGTCAGCACCCTGATGGCTGCTTGCTATTCACAGAGAGCTGAGTGATGCTAGCAATAACAACATTGTAAGAGGGGGACAGTTGGACATAGAGACCCTGTTTAATGATGTCCAACAAAAAAAACTTACATTTTGCACCACTAAAATAAATTATATAATTTATATTAAATTTGGAGACATTCGTTCTGTCAAAAATTGTCAGAAAATCTGAGCATCAGAGTCGAAAATTCAACATGAAATCCTTTATAATTAACATTTAATAGAAATGTCTGTTTGAGGTTTGTTCAATTATATTTTTTTGAGTAAGCGTATTACCTGTGGCACATGTCTCGCGTTGTGCAAGTAACAAGTAAAGGTGAGTTATTGGATGTAAGCAACTGTTGCTGACACTCTGATATGATAAATTTGATGGACAGCGTAAAGCTCTTTTGATTGTGACGGGCTCCCAACAGAACCAGAACCAAATGATCTTTACTTCGAGGAGTCGATAAAAAGAGCTCGTCAGATCAGACTTAGTTCCACTTTTTTTTTCATAAGAGTTTAGCGTTATTGAAACAAAAGGATCAGCCATGGAAAATTAGAGGCGTCAATGTTTGTTTTTTAAATCATAATTTAAGTTTCAGCTCTAGTTTAATGTATAATTTATTTATTTTTGTAATTTCAGAGACCACACAAAGCCAGTGCTGAGGAGATGACGAAGTACCACAGTGACGACTACATTAAGTTCCTGAGGTCCATCCGCCCAGACAACATGTCTGAGTACAGTAAACAAATGCAGAGATGTGCGTCCCGGTTTTTAAATTTAAACCTTTATATTTCCAGGAAATGAATCCACTGAGATTATTGAGCTCTTTTATAAAGATGTCCTGGGCAGTGTGCACGGTGCAAACAAGCCATCACAAATACAGCAACTTAACAGTCATTGAAAAATATTTACAACACATAAAAATGTACAAGTTTGCTCTCTACCGCTGCGTTCTGTTTCCTTTACCTTCTGTAATATTCATCTTGTTTTCCTGCAGTTAACGTCGGCGAGGACTGTCCAGTTTTCGATGGACTCTTTGAGTTTTGTCAGCTCTCCACAGGCGGCTCTGTAGGTACGTTGTATTTTTCACTTCATCCTCCTGCTGCACTTTGTTTCACCGTACGGTGAGTTTTCCACTAATCACTTAACCATCAGCTGTGAGTCTCTGATTTACTGCCTGTGTGACTCAGCTGTGACACGTCCACCAGTTTCATGTCCAGACCCTCGCCCGTTCAAGCTGACATTGAAGCCCCCTTCACTCTGGACTTGAACCTCACTACGATGTATCGGATCAGATCGTGTTTGCAGCGTCTTTGTTTTAGTTTCAGGCACATAACTGGCTTTGTTGCCATTTTAAGTGCTTTATAAATAAAGTGGTGTGGTATGATACAGTACTCTCTCTACTTAGCGGTTTATTTTTCGCAGACTCACTGTATCGCGGTTTTTCAAAATAAGATTGGACATGACACACAACTGGCTGATTGATGGATGAGCCACATGATTGGCATGGCATTTTTATTTAAAATAAATTATTTTGCACCTGCTGTACCTGTGTGTAGCCCACACTGCAGGAGAAGCTTTCTCCTGCAGTTTGTCACATCTCCACTTTGCAGCGGAGAAATGGGCGTGGCCAAGAGCGCTGGCAGGTGGCAGAGTGCAGCAGAGATCATGACATGTTCTCTTTTAGAGCATTTAGAGTTTAGAAAAATTATTTAGAACATTGCAAGAGTGGGGGGTTTAAAATGCCTTAATATATATATATATATATATATATATATATATATATATATATATACAGTGAGGAAAATAAGTATTTGAACACCCTGTGACTTAACAAGTTCTCCCACTTAGAAATCATGGAGGGGTCTGAAATGTTCATCTTAGGTGCATGTCCACTGTGAGAGACATAATCTAAAAATTAAAAATAAATCCAGAAATCATAATGTATCATTTTTTTTAAATAATTTGTGTGTTTCTGCTGCAAATAAGTATTTGAACACCTGCCAATCAGCAACAGTTCTTGCCCTCAAAGACCTGTTAGTCCTCCTCTATAACGTCCACCTCCACTCCACTGATTATTCTAAATTAGAAGCACCTGTTTGAGGTTGTTAGCTGCATAAAGACACCTGTCCACCCCACACAATCAGTAAGACTCCAACTACTAACATGGCTGAGACCAAAGAGCTGTCCAAAGACACCAGAGACAAAATTGTAAACGTCCACAAGGCTGGAAAGGGTTATGGGGCAATTGCCAAGCAGCTTGGTGAAAAAAGATCAACTGTTGGAGCAACTATTAGAAACTGGAAGAAGCTAAACATGACTGTCGATCTCCCTCCGACTGGGGCTCCATGCAAGATCTCACCTCGTGGCGCATCAATGATCCTAAGAAAGGTGAGGAATCAGCCCAGAACTACACGGGAGGAGCTGGTCTATGACCTGAAGAGAGCTGGCACCACTGTTTCCATGGTTACTGTGGGTAATACACTAAGACGTCATAGTTTAAAGTCATGCATGGCACAGAAGGGAAGGAGGTTGTTCCCCAAAACCTCACAATACGTGGCCCCCGTCATCCTCTCCTTAATACAGTGCAGTCGTCCTGTCCCATGTGCAGAAAAACACCCCCAAAGCATGATGCTTCCACCCCCATGCTTCACATTAGGGATGGTATTTTTGGGATGGTACTCATCATTCTTCGTTCTCCAAACACAGAGTGGAATTAAGACCAAAACGTTTTATTTTGGACTCATCTGACCACAGAACTTTCTCCCATGACGCCAAATGGTCATGGTCAAACTTAAGACGGGCCTGGACGTGTGCTGGTTTAAGCAGGGGAACCTCAGTGAGAGCATTGAAGATGGGTCGTGGCTGGATCTTCCAACATGACAATGACCCAAAGCACACAGCCAGAAGAACCAAGGAGTGGCTCCGTAAGAAGCATATCAAGGTTCTGGAGTGGCCTAGCCAGTCTCCAGACCTAAATCCTATAGAAAATCTTTGGAGGGAGCTCAAACTCCGTGTTTCTCAGCGACAGCCCAGAAACCTGGCTGATCTAGAGAAGATCTGTGGAGGAATGGACCAAAATCTCTGCTGCAGTAAACCTGGTGAAACACTACAGGAAACATTTGACCTCTGTAACTGCAAACAAACACTACTGTACCAAATATTAACATTGATTTCCACAGGTGTTCAAATACTTATTTGCAGCAGTAACACACAAATTATTTTTTTTTAAATTCATACATTGTGATTTCCAGTTTTTTTGTTAGATGATGTCTCTCACAGTGGACATGCACTTAAGATGAACATTTCAGACCCCTCCATGATTTCTAAGTGGGAGAACTTGCAAAGTTGAAGGGTGTTCAAATACTTGTTTTCCTACTATATATATGGATCCCTCGCAATAAACGAGGGACTACTGTACCCCAACTCTACTTGATTTAAGTTCTTTAAAGATAGTTGTAGAAAATATATTTTTGCACAGTTCGACTAAGCTAGATTTCATCGTTGGACCATGTAAACGGCCACCTGGACATGCAGGGACAAATGGAAATGCTAACATGTAAAAAAAAAAAATGTTCTGAGTTTCAATTAATTTTGTTGTTAAATATAATCTACAGAAATGTTATTAACCTAAAACCAACAAAATATCTCACAACACGGTTGTGCTCAGTGTTTTGACCATGAAATTTGACACTTTCTGTACATAAATGTAGACTTTTTCAATGATTTTGTAATATGCAATTTCACAACTTTTTTTTGTTTTTATGTAAATGCAAGACATCATGGGAAAAACACCTTTAATCTAAATATTTTGTTCAGTTGATTGCCCCAAAAAAAAGAATTGTACAAATGTTCTGTAAAGTTGTGACTCAGTGATGCAAACTAAACGTATGAACTGTTTCATTTATGAATAAAGTGTAAACAAGCAGCTTTATGCAGATAAACACGAGCTTACACCACAAAGGTGTAGCGTGTTCACATGTTTTAGTTTATTTAACGCGTGTCCTTTTCTAACTGTAGCCGGAGCGGTGAAGCTCAACAAGCAGCAGACGGACATAGCAGTCAACTGGGCTGGTGGACTTCACCACGCCAAGAAGTCTGAGGCTTCTGGTTTCTGCTACGTCAACGACATCGTCCTCGCCATCCTGGAGCTCCTCAAGTAAGTCCTCACTACTGCTGCTTTTTGCTTTACAGTGAAACCTAAATGAGTTTTGGACCCGTCATTCAGATGATGAGTTTGTAATACGTGGCTCCTACCTACTCTTTATACATTTTCCAGATACCACCAGAGGGTTTTGTACATCGATATCGACATCCACCATGGCGATGGAGTAGAGGAGGCCTTTTACACCACAGACAGGGTCATGACTGTCTCATTCCACAAATATGGAGAATACTTTCCTGGCACTGGAGACCTGAGAGTTAGTGTTGCTTTTCTTATGTGGATGTCTGCTTGAAAACGGTTTTTATACAGAAAACATGGAAGTATTAATCCAGTAACTTTACCGTTGTGTGCAGGACATTGGAGCAGGAAAGGGCAAGTACTATGCTGTGAACTACCCTCTTAGAGACGGCATTGACGATGAGTCATATGAAGCCATTTTCAAGCCCGTGAGTTTTCTTTTTGCAGAGCATTACCACACAAATAACTTAAATGTTACCATAGTCAGGCTAGTTTTGACTCTGTGCTTGTTTCAGATCATGGCTAAGGTGATGGAGATGTACCAGCCGAGTGCTGTGGTTCTGCAGTGTGGAGCAGATTCTCTTTCTGGTGACAGGCTGGGCTGCTTCAACCTGACCATTAAAGGTATAGAAACACTCCAAAGAAAATGGCTGCTTTAATAATAAGGAAAACTTAACTAGCGTGTTGTTGTTTTTTCCAAAAGGCCACGCGAAGTGCGTCGAGTACATCAAAAGTTTCAACCTTCCTCTGCTGATGCTGGGTGGAGGAGGATACACCATCCGCAATGTGGCCCGTTGCTGGACTTTTGAAACCGCCGTGGCCTTGGACTGCTCCATCCCCAACGAGCTGCCCTACAACGATTATTTTGAGTACTTTGGACCCGATTTCAAGCTGCACATTAGCCCGTCCAACATGACCAACCAGAACACCAACGAGTACCTGGAGAAGATCAAACAGCGGCTCTTTGAAAACCTCCGCATGCTGCCTCACGCCCCTGGTGTCCAGATGCAGGCCATCCCAGAGGACGCTCCTCACCCAGACAGTGGAGATGAGGACGAGGAAGACCCAGACAAGCGTGTCTCTAGTAAGAGATGTTTATCTGCAGTATTCTTTTGTTTTACTCAGATTTGAAGTTTCATGTTAAACATTGTGAGGACGTCCAGTTTATTATAAAGGGACAATGCTACAACCCTTGGGACTGAGTCCAGAAGGCACAGGGTGTAACACAAGTGGGGGCTCGTCCGGGATTTGCTCCCGGGACCTCTCGCACCCCAAACAATAATCATACTCCTAGACCAAATATGATGCTACATGATAATGACTTTTGTGTTTCAGTCCGTGCCCATGACAAGAGGATAGCCTGTGAGGAAGAGTTTTCAGACTCTGAGGACGAGGCCGAGGGGCAGGGCGGGGGTCGCAGGAATGCCTCAAACCACAAAAAGCTAAAACGACTGAAGAAGGAGGAAGAGAAAGAAGGAGAGGAAAAGAAAGGTGAGCAGCGCACCCACAAAAAACTAACGGCATTGAAAGGTTTTCTGAGAGCTAAAGAACTGCTTTACTTTGTAGAAGTGAAAGAAGAAGACAAAGAGGAAGAGAAGATGGACACATCAGGGTAAGAATCAGTTCTAAGGATTATGACCTGCAGTTTATGAGTCAGCAGTTTGCAGGGCTTAGTGTGAGCCGGAACAAGATCCGGGAACTCTCTTATTTTGACAGGGTGTGTTCCAGCAACTCAAACCTCCGCCCCGAAAAGTCCAGAGTCGTTGCGTATTTTAATTAAAAATCTCAAAACTTTAATTAAACAGCACAACTAAACTGCAAATCAGTTTGACAGTTGAAGTGGATTATTAATAAAATTTTGATGATTTGTTAAAAATACAAAGAGGAGACGTTGCCCTTAGCCCGGCGGACCCAGTCTGTGGAGTGGATGTTCCGGCCGCAGCATGCGCACACGCTCCTGCCCAGCAGAGACGCAGACAGCATGTCCCGCGGGGATGAAGTGTCTTCATCCACCTTCAGTGGCGCGCCCTGTGGACAGTGCACGTTACGCACGGGAGCGACTCCAGACAGAGCACGCACAACTGCTGATGTGTCAGAACTCCCGCAGACATTTCTGACAAAATAAATAAAACGGCTGTATGACATTAATTTATTCAGAATTATTTCTGGGGGAGGACCCACAGAACCCCCCACCCGCCCGTTATTTGCGTTCCGGCATCAGTCGGTTTACAAATTTAGAAGTTTTGTTATACGATAAATGAACTATATGTATAAACTTTAAAATGTCTGAAAGATGCCGACGCTCATGTTTCCAACATACTTTAACATGTCGGTACTTCAGGTGTAACGAGATCTTCACCGAAGTGCCACAAGTGGAACTCTTGAATTAAAAAAAGGTTTCATGACTTGGTGTGGGTAAATTCACTGCCAGCTGTTCAAACAAGCATGAGGCACCAGAACCATCGTGGTGACGTCACCCACGCCTCAGTCTCCTGCAGCTGCGTGCTGAGACGAAGAGTCTGTTGCACATTTGTTTTTAAACAAAACGGGATAATTGGTGCGTTCATGCAGACATTTGTTGATCTTTAAACTGACACACATGGTGTGTGAACATTTTGTTTCTCGCCCGATTTGCACAATATTGGATTTTTGGCCCATACGTTAAAACTTATTTGGTCGATAACTGATACAGATATTTTATATACTTTCCTTTGTCAGAACATATTTCTCTTATTTAGGCTTGTTTGCTACAAAAATTGTGTTACAGCTGTAACAGCTGGTGACATATATTCAGTAACAGCCATATGATATGCATAACACTTTTAACTTAATTTTGTTTTTATTTAACTTTAATATTAAATGAAAAGTGTTAAATGTTATTTATTAGCATTAGTCACCTACAATGCTGTCTCACTTGTGGAGGTTTGTTCCAGGTTTCTAGCTGCAGTGTGGGATCCTCTGCACTCTGTGCATGAAGGGCAGACTTTTTAAGTTCAAAGTTTTTGTCTATCCATTGTGCCATAAAACTAATCATGCTAACAGTGCTAACACAACGTCCAAATGTCTGTGGTAAAACTCACCCAAGTGCTGTTGGCTTCTCAATGACTGCTTGTAACTCGGGTAACATATCTCAGACTGGGGATGATGTAGCGAGGCTCAATGTAGTCCATCAATCTTCAGAATCCGACATCCTCACCAACAAAAAATAAAACTTCCACACCGCATTTTGAATTTTTCCTCTGCCATGGTCAGATCAGGAAGGCGCACGTGACGTCATCCTGTTGTGCTGCAGGCAGCCTAACTGGGTTGTCCTACAAAAACAGTGCCTTTTATATCGGTGAGTTATTTTGATGGAATGGCCGATGTCCGATCTTTAACCTTAACCCCATCGGCCAATACCATGCTGATAATATCGTGCATCCCTAGTGGAGATGAAAGAAATCGCACTGGGTTCTCCTCCACCTACCACAGCTGTTTTCTGAAATACCAAGCATTTCAACTCTTAAAAGAAACCATCTTGTTTTCCAGCTGCTGTCCCACAACAGGAAAACCATTAAACACTGACGTTGTGTTTTTCAGACCAAAAGAAGAAATGAAGACCACTTGAAGCTGGGTGGAAGGAGACGTGGATGTCCCGTTGTCCCTCAGCCCCTCCCAGACTCCTGCTCTCCTCCTGTAACAAGAGGACCTTTATTCCTTTTTGTACTGCACCTACAGGCTAACCTGATTCACACCTTGTTCTTAAGGATCAGGTGATATGGGGTGCACAACTATCTAGCACAGTAAAAATAAGCCCCCCCAATTTGTTGGTTTAATCCCACCCACCTGGCACTTAATCTCTGCGAGCCATCGTGTGAATCAGACACGTAAAAAGAAAATTCAGATTGTTACAGTTTCCGTGCTGGTGTTTCAGATTTGAACCCATCTGTGGGACTCCAGTTTGTCTATGATACAGAACTGGCCTTGGACCAGTCCTGCCTTCCCGTTAGCTCCTCAGCATGCTTACTCATCAGGCCGGCAGCATGTTCTGATTTTAAGTTGTTCTCCTGACACCATCTGTACGCTTTAAATTATTTTAACTCACTAGTCATTAGTTACTTCAGCCCGTCTCGTTGTAAACGTGCTCCGTGTTTTTATGTTCGAGTCTCTCCAGAGGCTGAAGTCGGCGAGCAAACGACTTGTTTTAGATATTTTGTACTATGAATACATAAGTAGTGTAAATCAATAAGGCTGTTTACATCCTTGTGAAATGTCCATGATCATATCTTTGTTAATAAAAACAGAAAAACATCCAAATGCACTCGTTTCTCCATTTAGTGTTGAGATCTGAGGCTTCTTCATCTCTGGATTAAACCAAAGGAGTGAAGTTATTCTGTGGTAACGCTGCAGTGAACCAACCAGGCACAACTTCAGGAAGTTATTTTTATGACTAATTACAGAAGAAACGTTTAACGTTAACTTCACAACTTCCAGGGTACAAATATGGACATTTTAAATTCTTGATCCACCAGGAGATCCAGAAAAGTTAAAACTCCAGTCCTCAGAAATAAAACAACTCTTGGTCATTTTCTGTCTTTATTTTAGTTTACACTCCAAATGCAACCGCAGGTGAGCAGTGGGCTGAACAGGCCGATGGTTGTTTACACCTCCAACTCAAAGTCGAAGTAATGTGGGTCGAAGTAATGAATCCTTACGTAGCCGTCTTCTCCTCCGCTGCTGTAACTGCACAGACGAGACCAAAGAGGGAAAGAGTTGGACATTTAGTGAAGGCAGGTGGTTCATCTTGCCAGTTTAGAGACGGCTTCTTGAACAGCCTCAGTTCAGAGAAACTGTTTATATCGAACAGGAAAGACGTAAAAAAACCCTCCATTTAAGTGAAAGTTATTTTAGAAACATTCACATTGTTGTAAAGTTTGCATTATTTCTCCTGGCTGTTCCCTCTTCAAGGGTCTCCACAGAGTCCTCCTCCATCTCACTCCAACTGTATCCATATATCTTTTCCCTCACTGCATTGAAAGTTATAGCAAAGGTAAACGGCAGCAGCGAGCTGTAGCACTTCCAGGAGAAATGTATTTCTGCTCAACTATTTAATGTAATGCAACATGTAAATGTAACGTTTTAAATACAGAAACCATACAATGCAAAGTTGTAAGTTGGTGTCCACACAAACAGGTGGTGCAGCTGGTAGAGCTGCCACCTCTCAGTGAGGTTGCAGGATCGAATCCCGGCCAGGGGCCTTTCTGGGTGGAGTTTGCACGTTCTCTCTGTGCGCGGGTTTCCTCCCACAGATCAGAAACATGCATGTTAGTCTGATTGGTAACTATAACTTGTCCCTAGGTGTGAGTGAGAGAGTCAATGGTTGTTTGTCTCAGTCCCTGTGATGGACTGGAGACATGTCCAGGGTGTCCCCTGCCTCTCGCACAGTGAAGGCTGGACATGGGCACCAGTGAGCCCCGCAACTTGAAAAGGCAGAAGTGGGTTAAAGACAATGGATGGATGTTGACACAATCAATTTGGGAGATCTGGGACACTTTACAAGAACTTGTTGGTCTTGGCTGTGTTCACACAAGACCTCAGGTCATCAGTCCTGTCAAATGTTCATTATTCCTCCAAACTGAACTCACAAAGTGTTCTACACCTGGCAAGGCATTCTTTCTGTCCAACCTTACCACCACCACCTCAAAATGTGCAAACCCTTACTTCCTGTTTAATACACTTAAAGGAGTATTAGAATTGCAGCCACAGTTTGTACCTCTTGCCATCTGGATGGAAAGCCACACAGTTGATGGGACCAAAATGACCTTTGACCCTGCCGAACTCCTCCTCATAGGCAGCGTGGAAGAACCTAGAAGCAGAAAACACGTTATCTAGGTTCTTTATCCTTACCTGTTGATCTGAACAGTTTTAACCCGTTCGGCTCACCTGGCCTCAAACTTGCCGATCCTGGTGGACGTGGTGGTGACTTCCATGGCTTCTTGTCCACCTCCCATCACCACCTGAGTGAAGTGGTTAAAGTTAGTGACAACAGGATGAACTCAAAGCCGAGCCGTACCGAGTTCCTTACATGATCCATTATGGGGGAGATGGCAGCGGAGTTGACGGGCCTCTCGGTCCTAAATGTCTTGATGTGGTCCAGAGAAGTGGAGTCGAACAACTAAAGACACAAGGAAGACGAGCGGTTCATCGATTCAACTGTGGACTCGTGGAAACATGAATGTAGCAGGTGGTAGGTTTTAGGGCGTGGTCTCTTACTTTGGCGGTGTTATCCTTGGAGGCGCTGATGAACGTGGTGAGGTCTACAGATGTCTGGATGTCGTTGATCTGCCTGGTGTGCTCCTTGGCCTTCTTCAGAACCTCTCCAGACTGATGCAGCAACAACAGCTCAGTTACGACTTTCAAACACATTTTTAAGGAAACCGGACCAGTCTGTGTATTTTATGACTTGTACTGGTAGGTGTCAAACCTTTGCACTGAACTGGTTGATCTCGCCGTTCTCGTGTCCTGCGATGACGAACTCCCCCAGAGGCCCCCACACGGCACCGGTTATCTTGTGCTCACTGCAGGGTATGGACTGGTAGGGCTGGTTGTCCTCTGCAGACAAACAAACAAAAACGTACGATAACACCACTAAAAACACAGATGGTTAAAAAAAGTACAACACGTTACCAAAAGTCTGAGGCGTAAATAACAAATTCTGTTTAATATGACGTGAAGTTGCTTTAGAAAAACAAAAACATGCAGCCTGAGCAGCATAGATGCACTAGAATCAACCGAGAACAGATCTGGATGAAAAGTCTGAGTCTGAAAAGAGAAAGTGAAGCAAAGTCTCCAGTTGGAGTTACCGACCCCACCACAACTGTTCATGGTGAAAAACAACCCAACAAGTTGAAAATGTGACAAAAACCATCAAACGTTCCAACAAGTGCATCAGATAAACTGTACAAAGAAGACACGTCAGCGTACGATGAGGTCTAGTATCAAAACGTGTGCAGCAGCACCGACTCTTCAGATGAAGACAGAACCGTGGCTCAGGAACCAGTGAAGAGGAAAATGGTCCAAAGTTTTTAGGCTCTGCAAAGTACTTTCACAGTGTTCCCCCATTACTCTCAAACACACCATGAAGACGTTTAAAGTATCAATGGGGGCAGAGGGGGTTCAGCGTCTTGCCCAGGGACACATCAACAGGTGACTGCTGATGGAATCAAACCCTCAACTGTCCCAGTGGAGGATGACTGCTCTAACCACTCATTTACAGCTGCCCCATTTAAGAAATAAAGTTTAATTCTTACTGTATCGATGCGCTAACGAGAACAAAGTGGATCTTAAAAGTGGCTCATGAATACTATTTTACAAATTTTTACTGGGTCGTCATTTGGCACTTCATGGTTCTGCAGCACTTCCTCCAGAAACAGCACAACATTCCTGCTAGAATAATCCTGTAATGCGAAACTGATTGGAGCGGTTTAAAGATGGCAGCGATCCACTTGGTTTTAGGTCCAGTTCCAACTAGCTGTTAGCTCGTCCATCTGGTGAGAATTAATAAATGTTTCTCCAAACCGAGGCCGATCAAGAAACTATCCACGATTTTTCCACAGAACTTTCTCTTTTAGACATAAACCTCCTGCTCTAACTGAGATCTTCTATAGAGTCTAAGATCTTCTATAGAGTCATCTGTTTTTTCATCTTCAAACGTGAGGACTCATGCCAGTAAATTGTATAAAGCAAACTAAGCACTTTTTTTGTACCCTCAATAAAAAAAAAAAAACTTAGCAGCCGGTCCAAGGCACGTTTCACTTGTGCTTTAGAAAATAAACTGCAGTGAAACAAAAGCTTCACCGTTCCTTTGAAATCAGACTGCAGCCGTTGAAAACGTGTGTGTGTGTGTGTACCTATCTGCTGAGGGTCCCTCAGGTCAAAGAAGTTCAGGAAACACTGGTAACCCATCTGCTTGTCGGTGGAGAACATGATGATGTTGCCGCTGAAATCGAAGCCGCACGTCCTGACGGCAGAGTTGGTGTTGAGCAACGCCAGCTGCTTCCCTGCAGAGAAACACCGACTGTTGAAAGACTCGTCTGACATCAGCAAGGGATGAAGGGCAACCATAGCCGGGCTGTTAGCTCCACATTACAGACATTTTCAGCCTGGGACGGACCTGCAGTCAGTCCAGACGTACCAAACCGCTCACTCCATGACGGCCGGCACCAGATAACAGAAACCGTGCACACAAAATGAATAGAGTTATTTACAAACAGAAACAACTTCAGCAGCAGCAGACCAGGGGTCCCATCTGAAAAGTTCCACATTTTTGCCAAAGTAGAAGTGTAATATGGTTTCAGAGAATTTTCCGTCAAGAGTTCAGAATTTTTTTTATTGTGGCTGAGAAACAGATTTCCCCCCTGCTGTCCATCAAAACAATCGTAGCGTTTCCATTGTTCACTTGTCTTGGCAGGACACTCATCTTCTGTGATTTTTCTCCATTAGGGTGGTGGAGACATGTCTGTTGTGCACCGTTTGGACCGACAGTTTTCGAATGGGGACGTGGGTGGAGAACGCTCAGCATGTGTGGGAAACAAGAGTGCCCTCTGTAGCTTGTTAGCTAGCACATCTGTATAGTGTGCTGCTAGCTTAGCGCTACGTCAGAGCTGGTGGTTGTTGACGTGGGTGGGAGGGTTCAGTAGGAGGTTGCTCGATTCTATTGACAGGGCGGGGCGCCCTGCTTGTATAATGGTAGGAGAAACACTGGAGGCCAACTTGCCAGCGGCCATGGATCATGTCTGTGCAGCTGGCTACAGGAGGAACGGCCCGCTGGACTCTGCTGCTGGATCTGTGTCTGCAGACTATTCAAGGCTGATTCTGGGACATGCTCCAGACATTTATGTATCCGTGTATGTAACTTCTCCTGAACGAGCCCATGCAAGTGAAATGCTGGTTAAAAATCTTCTGCTGCTGATTGTGCTTCTTTTGAGTAAATAACAGAGAAGAAGAGAATTTCTCCAACATGTGCTTTGCATATTCAAGACTGGAGTTGTTTGAGAACGGACACATTACCAGGTTTTCTTTGCATGTTGATACAGTTCTAATAGACCCACATTCAAAGTGGATTTTAAACTGAAACACCTCCAAACCTCTCAGAGTGGTTCATGCTAGTGCTGAATTTTAATCTTTAGACTGCTGACAATTTGACACCACATGCATGGAAGAGTCCAGGCAGCAATGACTCCTCAACGCCCCAGACGAGCCACGCCTCACTGCTGCTACTATTAAAGCGCGTAAACAAACATTTTATTTAATGTAAATAACCCCCGTCGTGCGAAACCAATGTGTGATGTCAAAGTTTATAACTTTAGCATGAACTGCTGGCCTTGGTCATCAGTTAACGTAATTTATTTCTATAATCTGAGGTTATTTAAGAAACCATCTACAACAGGTAAGATTATTACATACTTAATAACTTTTACATATACTCAGTAAAGTATGGCTGAACTACTGGTACTTCTTTTAACCATGACATGATGTGAGACTACGGTAAAGTCTTCCACAGATTCGGAGACGTTACTCTCGCCCAAATCCAAAGTGCTCGATTACGTCATCCTTTACAGCTGGGCTGGATTTGTGCCGTTGTATATGACCCCCATTTGAAGGCGAATAATGTACAAAAAAAAGCAACATTTCACATTGATTTTCTTGCTTTGATTCCACAATTGTAAAGCGTTTCTCACAAAGTGTGTGGAAAGTCAGCTGTGGGGTTTTAAAGACGTTACAATTTTAATTTATTTTAACACACGGTGTCAGGTCTGTGCTCCTTGTGTTTATTGGCAAATTAAATATAAAAACAACATCACCACTAGAATCTTTTTACTTGTGTTCAACACTAAACATCTAAAGGATGTTTGTCACCAAGTCTGAGGGAAATAAATTGTGGGGTTTTAAAGCAATATAAACTTTAACGCACGTCTATAAACACATGTAGTGGATACGTGGAAGGTACCGGCCCAGCCATAAAGGTTGTTGTAACTGAGCACTCTTGATGTGGGCGAGCGTTTCCCAATCCGGGGAGGGCTTTACCGGAGTGACGTGCGCGTTATGAACCAGCAAAGTGAAGTTTTAAGGAAAAATACCCAACATGACTTTACTTACCGGTCTCACAGTCCCACAGTCGACAGCTGTTGTCTGCTGATCCTGTCAACACATTCTTAGTGTCCCCTGAGACAGAGCAAGTTAAGAAACAAACCTTGTTGCACGTCATTTCCAAACACGACAGTAAAGCAGTTTGACAGGATCAAACAGTCCGAGTGCACAGGTGGAGGATACAGTCGCAGTCGACACACCACACAGCTCCTGTGTGCCCATTGTAGGTCCCGAGCCTCTCTCCGTTCACAGAGTACCACACGTTGGTGACCTGTGGAGGAACAGAGGTCAGAAAGACGCATCCAAGCAGACTCCATGTTCAACAGAGAGCTCCAGCTTACTGTGTCTTTAGCTACAGAGAACAGCAGGTCTCCTTCTCTGTTGTACTTGATCTGCGTGATGGACCTCTCGTGGCCCTGAAGTAAGATGGGTTTCTGGGAACACAAAGCGAAGTTTTACCTTTCAGATACATTTTTTTAAACCTAGGACAAGCATTACATACAGTTGACTAAACTGTATACAAAACACCAAGTGACAGGTCAGTAAAACATCTGTTTTATACATAAACATAAAGCGACAGTTCAGTTAATTTTCAGGCTAAGCTAACGTTAGCCGATGCAGCAAACCAGCGCTAGCACGCGCAGTTTGAAAAGGACTAAAACAACCGACAGAAGAGTTTGACAAAAAAAATAAAATAAACCAACCATGTTGTTGACCGCTACGTGTCTCCAGATAATCCAGTATATTTACTTCGCCTCACATAAAGAGAGAAAAGATAACGAACACTCGTGCATACGGCGGCGGTGTCGCGGCGGAAGAGGAAGATCTACATCCGGTGTCAAAAGAAAAACAAAACGTCACTGCGCCACCTGTTGGTGACTCCGAACTGTACATGCACAACACTACATGGACGTTCCCGCATCCAGATCCCGCAGGAAATTGTTGAAAATAGTTATTTTTTTATAACCATCCATCCATGATATTTAAATGAAAAAATATTTACAGCTTCTTCCTTTTCGGGTCGTGGGGGTCACTGGTGCCCATGTCTTTGTCCTGCCATCATTGTGCAGGAGGCAGGGTGCACAGGGGGCAAGTCCATCACAGGGACAGATATATAATTTATCATAATAACAAATAATAATTATATACACACATATATAATAGAAAGAGTGTAATGAGAATATCACAAACAGTTCTATGACAAAATAAAGTTGATTAACTGTATGTTTGCATTTTCAGCAGCAGCTGCATTGGCATAAACGTTGGGGAAAAATATATATCTAAATTAATTTTTTAATTTACATTATTTACCCTTTATTTATACAGGTCATCTTATTGAGCCATGAGAACTCATTTTCAAGGGACCTGTTTGTGGGGTGGGGGCCTTGCTCGGGGGCCCGGGGTGGGGTGTGGGTGTACCACCTTTTCCACCCACACTTTTGATGTTGACGGTACCGGGAGTTGAGCCTGTGACTTTCCAATCACAGGCCCATCTTCTAGCCTCTGCGCCCCCCCCCCAAAAAAAAAATTATATAAATACTGTGTGTGTGTGTGTCTATATTTATATATATAATTTAATTCATGTATTTTAATTATTTTGTCATTTGGGATTTACTTTTGGAACATGAACACAAATGTTTTTAACTTTATAAAACCATAAAAGTAAACCAGGCCAGTGGCTCACTAGGGTCACCGTGGTGGCTCCACACCAGTTTCTCACACCCTCATTGTTCTTTTAAATAACACATGCCAACAGAAACTCTTTTTACTTTGTGGAGTAAAAAGAGTTTGCAGAAACAGGAACGATACGAGTGATCCATCACAAAATTACTTTAATTGTATTAAACCTGATAAAAGATATCAAAATGCCTGTTGGGTCATTTCCAGTCTAATTTACCATACCATACCATACCAACTTTATTTATAGAGCACTTTATGCACCCAACAGGACCAAAGTGCTTTACACAATTATATAATACAATACAATGATAAAATGGAAGGGTAAAATTTAAAACAGGAATAAAATAATAAAATAAAATACAAACACAATAAAACAAGGTAAAACATCTCAGATTGTGCTAAAAGGCCAAAGAAAAAATATGAGTTTTAAGAAGGGACTTAAAAACCTCAATTGAAGAGGCCTGTCTTATGTTCAATGGAAGGTCATTCCAGAGCCTGGGAGCTATCACAGAAAAAGCTCGGTCCCCTCTAAGCTTACGCTTTGTCTTCGGGACCTTCAGAAACAACTGGTCAGCTGACCTGAGTGAACGAGAGGGTGTGTAAGAATGTAGCAGCTCAGACAGGTATGGAGGGGCATGGCCATTTAAAGCTTTAAAAACAAATAAAAGTATTTTAAAATGAATCCGGTAATGCACCGGCAACCAATGTAAAGAGGCCAAAACAGGAGAAATACTGTCAAATTTCCGTGTACCTGTTAAAAGTCGTGCAGCTGCATTCTGAACCCTCTGAAGCTGGGAAATACATGAATCACTAATACCTATGTAAAGTGCATTGCAGTAATCTAGCCGTGTGGTCACAAATGCATGGATTGCTGTTTCAAAATGCTGTCTGGGAAGAATTGGTTTTACTTTAGCCAGCTGCCTCAAATGAAAAAAGCCTGACTTTACAACTGTTTTAATTTGAGACTCCATCCTAAGACCAGCATCCATCTTGACCCCTAAATTTGTAACAACTGGCCTGACATACTGAGCCAAAGAGCAATCAACAGGCAGAGAGTCTTCATTCGAGCTGCCAAAAATCACTACCTCTGTCTTGTCTTCATTTAATTTCAAGAAATTTTGGGCCATCCATGCCTTCAAATCCTCCAAACATAGAAACAGAGACCGAAGAGAAGTGGAATCTGCTTTCTTTAAAGGTAAATAAATCTGCGTGTCATCAGCATAACAATGAAAAGCAATCCCGTATTTCCTAAAAACAGAGCCAAGAGGAAGGAGATACAATAAGAACAAAAGAGGACCCAAGACTGAGCCCTGCGGAACACCACATGATAGAGGAGCAGAGGATGATCTATTGCCATCAAGACAGACACAAAAAGTGCGTTTTGTCAAATAAGACTTAAACCAGTCTAGAGCTGTTTGACCAAGGCCCACATATTGTTCCAGACGAGCAATTAAAATCGTGTGATCAACTGTGTCAAAAGCAGCTGATAAATCCAACAACACCAAAACAACACAATCACCAGAATCAGTTGCCCAAAATATATCGTTAAAAACTTTTAAGAGAGCTGACTCTGTGCTATGAAGTGATCTAAAATTTAGTGAAATACTCAAACCAGATTTGAGCTGTAGAGCTCTAAAGTTTTGTTGTTCCCCCACTTGTTTTTCTAAACCCTATTTTTAAGTAGACTAGTTTTTGCAAATATCATCTGCTGTATAATTTTTTCAGATTTCTGGTTTCAAGCAGGCTTTCATGTATTCTCGTTTCTCCAAAGCTGCAGCAGCAAATCCAACATCTGGGCTGGAAAACAAAAAAACAACACGTGAACGTTTAGACATCAACAGTCCGACTCAGATCTGGCCTTCTCAGAACTTACAACTAAAATATCCAACACTGAAACATAAATCTACAAGCAGCCAACAGATCCACCAAACTGATTTTATTTAGCAAGAAACAAAAACATACAAGGCCACAAAACAGAAATAGAAAAAAAAAAAGCAGGTGGGAAACATCTTTGGTTCCTTCTTATGGTCCTTAAAAAGTTAAAAGGGAAGAAATCAGATCCACCATCTCTGCTTCAGGCGTCACTTCAGCGATGCTACGTCACCTGGCTCAGCCACAGGTTGTACCATCAAACAACAATAAAAGCAGCTCAACAAACGTTTTGGCCCCCGGCTGTGAGAAATGTTCAGCTTTTATACGTGTGCACGACAGTGCACGTGAGGAATGTAGTTTCAGCCAAGTGCTCGTCGGTCGACTACAACAAAATAAACCAGATATTGCATAGAGGTGCTTTAACATTCGGACGGCGAGGAAACGATTCGAAATGGATAAACTACAGACGACCCACTCGTACCAGTTAACCCAGTTTAAAGCGGTTGTCGTTACAAATGCGCGTTCGACTAAACTGGTCATTTGATGACTTGGGAGTAAATCTACTTTTAATTCACTGAAATGATTAAATTTTTCCAATAATTAAAACAAACAAGCCAAACATTAAAGTAGCAAAAACTCATTTCAGGCGTTTCCTGGAGCCTCCAAAGGTTTAAATCAACAATTACACTAATTACATGAAACATGGCGACGCTAAAGAAAATTACAGTTAAAACTGAAACTTTAACGTGGTAAAAGTGGATTTTTTAGAAAGAACCCGTTCCAACGCTGCAAATGACCAAAGACGATCACAGAAACGATAAATGAGCGTGATGACTCCTCGTGCAGCTCAGAAGCAACAAGTCGGTGCAACGACGTGACGAGAAGCAAAACGACTATTTGACTTTGCAGGAAACAAAAGTGTAAACGATGGAGCTGGTTCTAATCCATGTGGAGTCACAGTTCACGAGAACATAGAAAGGTGTGTGTTTCATTCAGTGCTTCAGAGGAGCAGCGGTTTGTAGGCTGGTGGTTTGAGTCCGGGGTGTGTGTGTGTGTGTGTGAGCAGGTCTCTTTCACTCCGGCGCAGGAACAGGCCGAGGGTCTGCCTCCTCCTGCAGGGTGTCTGCCTGCGGCTCACTCTGGCACGGCTGGCAGCAGGCGGGGCCGGGCTCCGGCAGAGAGTCTGAAGGAGGCGGGGAGGGGGAGTCGGTTCCTGGGTCAGAGGTCGGGGCTTCAGCGGTGCCGCTGGTTTGCCCTCCGAGGCTCTGAACCTTTTTCTTCAGCTCGTTTCGATCGACCTTCAGCGCCCGCCGCAGCTTCTCGAGCCGCTGGACTTTACCCTGCAGCGCCTCGAAGTCTCGATCGCGCACAGCTTTCTGTGGAAACCAAAGGATGACAGGGTCGTGACACAAACACCAGAACCGAGCCAACTGGACTCTCCGGTTCAGTGGGAAACATTCCTGCTCGCACTGACAGGGAGGTCCATCCAGCTGCAGCGTTTCGTTCTCAGCAACAAGCACGTCGGTCATGAAAGACTCCCGAGGAAAGTAGAAACCTGACCCGTGTCTCGTCTGAAACAGGTGATGGTGACCTCTGAACTGCTGTTGCCATGACGACAAGGACATTAGCATGCAGAGTGTTGGTCCCTGCTACCCAGACTTCAACAGGTATAAGCATCAACTGCATCTCTACGTTGGCTCAGCATGATGGGGGTGAGGTGGAGGTGGGGGGGGTGATACAGCACTGGCTAACCTTTTCACGTTACATACGAAATGTTTCTGTACCCACGTAGCTTCAAACTGACCGGGATCTAGAAAAGTATTTGTGCAGCCAAAAACTACAAATACACGAGAACATTATAAAGAGAGAAAACTTCAGCTGACACAGTTTCTGTGTCCTAACGAGACGTCGTCCAGTCAGACCACTTCACGCTTTCAGGTTATTCTCTGATTAAAGGGACAGTCTGGTCATTTTTCACCTTATGCGCTGTGACATCCATTAACGGACATGAAGAAAAAGGAAGTATTTCTCCAAGGCTACTCAGACTAGTCTCTTTGAGGCAAACAGAACAAGTTTTACTCACAACAGCTGGGACAGAATACTACATTAGTGTGTACAAGTACACATCACCGTGCAGCTTGTTTGTGACTCAGCTGAACGACGGTGTGTTTCCTCACAGATGTTGGTGTCTGAGGAAAGCATCGCTGGTTAAACTGTGTTGGCCGTCTCATGAATGGAACCAGTTTAAAAAGCCACACTGATGAACTTTCATCTCCTCGGGGTTAAAACCTGAGTGAAGAGTCAACAAGGTGTTCACCTCCTCAGCCATCTCCAGCAGAGCTTTGTTGCTGCTCTCCCACCTCATGCGATACATGGCCGTCTCCTTCTCCAGCTTCTTGATCTTCTTGGTCATCTGCGAGCGCAGAGGAAACACTCCTGTTAGAGGCGGCACCGCCAGCAGAAACATGGCCGCCCTGCAGTCACCTCACCTTCTCCATCTCCTGTTTAAAGGTGGTGAAGACCTCGTTGCTCTTGGACAGCGTGCTCTGAAACTCCTCGAACTTCTCCGTGTACAGCGACAGCTGGAAAAGGAGCACAGCAGAGGTCAGGCGCAGCTCTGCAGCAGCAGCAGCGTGTCGAGGCTTCGAACGGAGTGAACCTGCTGCTTCAGGTGAACCTCCTGCTGCGTCATGAGCTCGCACATCCTCTGAGACTCCACGGCTTCTTTCAGCAGCTGCAGGGAAACACAAGCTGCAATCAACTCACTCCTTTGAGGAACAGTTTGAAACATTCTGTGGTGGCTAAACTGTGGCGGCCATTAGGCCAGTCACCATAACAAATTTTACTGGGCGATTAATTGTCTCAGAAATTATTGCGATAAACGATAATATTGTTTGACATTTGAAAATAATCAGTAATTGTCAAATGTAAGAAGAAATGTTGGTTAAAATTTGTGTGTAGTACCTTTTTTGACCACTGGATGGCAGTATTAGATTGTCTGAACTAAAAGATGGATAGTGAGGGAGTGAGCAGCGTGTCTCTAAGAAAACTGGGAGGGAGGCCTCTTGACGTGACATGGGCTGTCTCCATGGTTACCAAGTCCGCTTATTATAAGCAACTTTGGGCTAGTTTTTTTCTAAAGTCGCTTGTAAATCTTGTGAGTCAGTTTTGAACGTGAAGTTGTTTATTTGGGCTCGACTTTCTTTCCGAGTGAAACTAATTGATTATCTCCAGTTCCGAATAATTAAGCAAAAGACGAGTGGTAGTAGGTAGTTTGTCCCTTCCACGCCCCCGTTTCCCGTTTATCACTCCCGCCCAAGTTATCGAGGCGACAAGCGCACACAGACATATACAAACACGTCTGTGGGTGCACACCCCAAACACTCATACTGTGGCCGACCACTAGGGGGCTCCACACACACACAGATGTCAGGATGTTTTGTTTCTAAAAAAATATGTAGAAAAAAATTACATATGCAAAATGTATTTTTTTTTTATCAGAGCTTAAAAGTATGTTATTCAAAGTGTTTAGCATCATTTTGCTGTTGTTTATGTGTAATGCCATAATAAAAGTATGTTTATACTGTTTAAAAACAGCCTGTTTTTCACAATGTGGTGGGTTGCCAGATGGGCTTGTTTTCATAGTTAGTTGCTTGTTTCCGTCACGAGATCTGGCAACATGGGCTGTCTCTCCTTCCAGTTTTTCGGTTCTCAAAATGGTGGACACCCTGTGTGGTTTGAGATCTTTAGCATAGCATTTGTCACACAAAGCTTTTAATAAAAAAATTAATCAATTAATTTAAAAAAATCAGTAAACAAGTTCTCAGCTTCATTTTGCAGAGAAAAACGTTTTATACGAAGACACGGGTTTCAACCGTGAATTTTGGAGCTTGAACAAGAAAAGAGTTTTTTTCCTGAAGTCGGCCTGTTAGCTTAGCTTCTCAGATTAGCTGCTTTTAACGATCCAAAAACGTGATTTTAGACGGTTAAAACAGATTTTAAAGAGAAAAGAGAAAGGGAGGGGAAGAGAACTGGAGTTGAGCCTTTTGTCGTCCAGTGTCTTCAGAAAGAGACACAAAGAAATGATAAAAGCCAATAAATGAAAATGAGGTTGATCATTTTCATTCATCATGCGATTAATTGATTTAATGTTTATTGCGACAGGCCTAGCGGCCATCTTGAATACGGTTGACTCCATCATTACTGTGGAACCTGTGGTTCAGATTTACACATCTGACACACGTCGTGCTCTCCTGTCTGTGTGGAGCTCCAGGACAAAGCCTGTCCACGAGGAGGTCTTTGAAGGCGTTCTGGGAGAACTCACAAAGTCTTTTTCTCTGTCGTGGCGCTCCTCGGACTCCTTCAGCAGCTCCTGCGCCTGGTGCAGCTTGGCGTCCACCAGCTGCTGCTGCAGGTCTTTGTGCTTCACCACTTTGTCTATGTGCTGCCCAGAGACACACAGATCAACATCTAGCAGTGAAGCACGGAACAGCAGAGGTGGGAGGAGAACCTCACCTCCTCCCGCAGCTTGTACTGCTCGTACAGCTTCTTGAGCTTCTCGCCCAGCTCTGCGTTCTCCTGCCGGAGGCTGGCGTTCCTTCGGTTGTGCTGCTCCATCTGAGCCTGGATGTCGTTCAGCGTCGACTGGAAGTGAGATGTCACCTCTTTCCTTTTCTCCTCCTCCAGACGGGTTCTCTGCACTCCTTCCTCCTGCAGAGACGAGAACCATCGACAGGAACATTCAGTGGTGAAGTCTCCAGCAGCTGAAGGCCTCGGGGAGGAGTCAGGATGCCGTGGTACCTTCAGGGTCCGGTTGTGTCTCTGCAGCTCCCTGCACAGACTCTCCAGCTTGCTGCGGGCCAGGATGGCCTTGCTGTGTTCGTTCCTCAGGTTGTCCTTCTCCTGGACCAGCTGGGCCTGCTTCTTCTGCAGCACCTTCATCTGCTTCTGGGTGTTACGGTGCTCCTCCACCTGAGCAGAGAAAAACATTTAGCTCTCTGAAAAAGCCCCGTCCTTTAAAAAAAAAAAAAAACATCACTGCTGATGATTGAAGGTGGAAACTTATTAAAGCCCAGCGGACCGTCATGCTCCTGAAAGCATTCAAATGATGCAAAATGTCATTTAACTATTGTTTCCTCTTTGAATGTCGAGCTACAGAAACTCTGGACGGATAAAACTGATGCAAGAAGTTTTGTTTACATCATTTTAGCTTCAAGACATTTGAAGAAATCTGAAGTCCTAAAATGAGATAAATACAAAATTCATCACACACTGCACTCTCAACATTTATTAAATCAGACAAAGATATGCCCAAACTGCAAAAAATATACATATTTATTGAAAACCACTTGTAATTCTATAGTTTGCGGGACAATAGTTTCTCTCAGACTCAACCTGCTGTGAAGACGCGACTTTTTCCACTTCTTCATGTTGTTTCCAGTATAAAATGCACAGTGTTTTAAAGTAACGAACTATAAAGAGCTTCAAAGTTGAGCTTTGAGGAAGATCTGATTTATTCAACTAGGGATGCACGATGTTATTGGCATGGTATCGGTCGATATTAGTGATAAAGTTAAATATCGGACGTCGGCCATTCCATCAAAATAACTCACCGATATAAAAAGGTGCAGTTTTTGTACGACAACCCAGTGACAAGGAAGCCTGCAGCGCCAGCACAACGTGATGACGTCACGATAGATTTGTGAAAATTGACAAATTTGCTCTGTTCGAGTGTTGTCATTGTGTTAGAGAGAGTAAATATCATGAACACATTTGACATTAAACATAATCAAGTTGAAGTGTTGAATCATTTTCAGACCCTTGTAGTCATCTGCATTTGGCATCAGGTCAAATTGACAAAGGCCATGCAGAATAATGAAGTATTTTAATTCTACAGCAGAGAAAACTATGTAGTCTCTGTAAGTAGGTCTAGGAAAAAGAATATTGGTACTGGTTAGGAATGTGTGATATAAACGGTACACGGTAGAAACGATAGAGATCTGTCTTCTACCGGCTAACCACAGTAACGCTGTGTATGATGTAAAATCAGAGTTGTCAGTTTAATCGTTCCTTTTTTGTTTTTGTTGAAAACTGTGCATAAGTGGTGTTCAAGTCATTTTGTCGAGAGCTAAGTAGCAAAGCTACAAGCTAACTACGGCCGGCTTACCGTACTCGTATTCGGACGCATGCGCAAAACGCTGTTCCGTCGAAAGTTTTTTTTTGTCGAAAGTTCGTTTGTCAGCTTTAGAGAGTTTATTTGTGCTAAAAAAAGAAAGAAAGTGGGTTAAACCTGCTCTTTGATCTGTGAAAAGAACGCTGTGTTGTGTGATTTTACTGCGAGACCCACTGGTCAAAGCCACAGAGGAAACTGGTCGCCATTTTGTGTCAGCTCTCCTTAAAGTGGAAGGAGACGCCCACTGGAGGGTGAAGTGTTTCAGCGTGCACTTGCTGCTCTGCTGCTGTTCATTTGTTAAATGAGAATACTGGAAACTGTTAAGAGTTAACAACATATTCTTTTGTTTAAAACATACGGTTAAAACTACATTTGATATCTTTTGCACTACAAGAAAGAAGCCCAACACTTGATTTGTTTCTTATTTAAAAACTTTCTGGAACTAGTAGTGGATTTTTCTTGATTGAGATTTTTTTGTGGTATAGCAGTTTTCAAAATAAATGATGGCAAAAGGACACCCTATGCTCGTTTTATTCCATTCCTTACATACATACATATATCAGGGTATATGCAGGAATAATGAAGTTAATTTCAATACCTTTTCAAGACCTTCCAAAATAAATTCAAGACCTTATCGTCACTTTGTTTTATTAAGCAACAAATCTTTGATTTACAAAACTGCTGTTGTTTTCAATTAAATCCGTGAATCTCAAACCTACAACAGAACTGAGATACAGTGGATAGAAAAAAATTCAAAAGAAGAAACTGAACCACGACTAGGTTTAAGAAAATATAGCTTAGGTTACAACAAGACTCGTAGTTATTTTAAAGTAACTTGGTTGAACAATGGCGAATAAGAAATAAACACAGTAATCATTACATGTGCCTCAGTGCAGTTGCTTTGCATTCCAGCAACTCTTCAGTTTGCACCAGCTCACTGAGTTTTTCTTTACGTCTCCTTCTCAAGACATTGGACTTGGTGATCAGTTGGGCCATTAAAGAACCTGACTTTCCCTCTGCCTGCTCTGCCAACTGATCTGCATCTTTTTGCAGAGAATCGCACACCTCTTGTAGAAGTTTTCTCTTTTTTTTCAGCTCTTCTAACTCAGCTCCAGCTGCTTTCCTCTTAAGGCTCTGTGTGGAAGTTTCTTTCTTCTTTCGTTGCTGTTCCAGGTAAATCCTGTACTTTGACCTTGCAGAGGCAACAGAAGCCAGCAGCTCCTTGGTCAGAGGTACCTGCAGAACACCCCCACAGACACTGACCTTGTCGCAGATCAACCTCAGAGCCTCCATCGTCTCTTCGTGTATGTTGCAGGTTTCGACCTGCTTGTTAACTGAGAATCCACGCTCCACTGTGGCCTTCTTTTTAGTTGACTGGTTCAGAGACTCGTCAAACATCAACACAAATGGGCCAGCTTTGTTAATACTGTCAACGAGCTCCTGCTTAAAAAAATGTGCAAGCCCGAATCGCAAGATGTAACCCGTTTTGTCCTTGCCACAAGTGAATGTTCTGGCTATATCCGAATCTGGAAACATTGATTTAAAAATGTCCGATATGCCTTCGTTGGAATTTAGAGAATGGTGATTCACCGCAGTGTGGAGACACCAGATCACCTCTGCACGCAGTGTTGGTGTGCTGCCCATGGTCACCATGATGTCGGCAGACGGAGAGGCAGAAGACAGTGTCAAGGGAGCTTTGGTTGGTTCAGGCACACGGTTAGCTGGAAGCGCTGTCGCTGGTGGAGCACAGAAACTGCTGATAGACATCTGCGTTTTGCGGCTAGCTGCACTTTTGTGGCTAGTTCCAGTCATATGGGACTTCAAGGCGTTTATGCCCATCGAGGCTACGCTCATCTTTTTTTTACAAAATGTACAATAAGCCTCGCGGTTATTCTCGGCGACAGGCCTCAGCCATTCTTGAAAATCAGGCATCTCCAACCAGGAGTCCGAAAACTTGCATTTACCCATTGTTCTCACGGTCTCGCGGCAACTTACTCGAACACACAGACTCAAAGCAGCCGCGCATGCGCACAAGATAGGCCTAGCCGTTAAGGCTGTTGTAACCTGACACTCTAAATTTGTGCGAAGCAGTTTCCGAATCCTCCGCAGTGAGGAAAACAAATATTAGTCATACATACTTTTTGCTGTCAAATTATTTAAAGCTAGAATAACAGCAAAAAAAATAATACCTCATCAAATCGCTTTCAACACTTTTTAATACTTTTCAAGACCCTTAATTTTCCCAAATTTGATTTATCAACTTTTAATAACTTTCAAGACCCCGCGGACACTCTGTATATACATATTATATATTGTGATATATAATGCTATCACCACCCATCACAATACATATCGTGATATGAATTTTATAACATATCACACATCTCTAGTATCGGCTATCAGCCAAATAACTTTTAACATATCGGATATCTGTCAAAAATCCAATATCGTGCATCCCCAGATCAGACCAAAGCTAAAATATAAGTTATTGATGTTGGATGGATATATTTAACTTTTCAGCTCAGGCGAGGACCAGAACCATAGTTTGGGTTGAGAACAAGTGGCTCTGCAGGAGCTGCTCACCAGGTCGGCGTACTTCTTGCAGAGACCGGCGAGCTTCTCCTCCGGAGTGCTCAAAGTGTTGAGGGTCTGCATGAGCAGGGTGATCTCTTTCCCTGAAGAACCAGCAGAAGTGAACAAAAACACAAACCAACGGGTTCTGTTAGAAACAACCCAGTTAAGATGAATAACCAAACTCTACCACTGTAATAGTCTTGGTGTCTAACCTGCTCACGTGATCTGATTATCAGTCACGTGTGGTTCTGACCAGATTACTGAACGTTTGAGCCGTCCTTACCCAGACCCTTCACCTTCTTCTTCTCCTGAGTCTTCTTCTCTGCTCCACCGTCACCGCTGGCGGCCTTTCCTTCCTCCTGCTTGTCGTCTTCCTTCTCGCTCGTCAGTCCGTTGAGCGCCGGGCTGTGAGGCTGGCCGTTGACCTCGGAGATGGTTTCCCGGCAGTAGGTGCTGAGGATGTCCTCGAGCTGCCGGCTCAGCTCCTCGGCCACGTCACACTGCAGCGGAGCGGCGTCTGCAGCTGGGAGACGAAGAGCTCAACCCTCAAACACGACAACCGCCGTTAAACTCGTGTTTTCAGTGTTTGATCGTTATATTTCACTACTTTTACCTTTAGAAAACAATAAATAGGAGGTTAATTAAAATTCAAACGGTCTGAATTTAGCCAACGTCTTTTACTGAGAGGCTAACGTGAGTTTAAAGGAAGAGCTGGGCCATCTGCTGACGTGGATGTTAGAGTCAAAGTTAGAAACATCTCACTTGTAGTTTCTTCAACAGACTTCGATTGAAGAAACAAGAGTTTATAACCGCAGGATTCACACGGAGAGTTCAAACGCAGCTGAGCCCAAAATAAACTGTTGTCTAAAACTGCTTTAATCTAAAAGATGTCACTGCAAGCATCAGTTTCAAACGATCTGCTATTTTGTTTGAAATATCTGCTGGAAATGATCCTTGGCTGCACCAAACGAGCTACACGTCCCTGCAGCTGATGCTATCTGTGCTGAAACAAGCAGCAAACGTCCATGTAGATAAGAGCGCGGACAGCAGCCTGAAGGTTTGTGATTTACAACAACATCCACAGTGCATGTGTTTTAGGACAGCAACAATTGCTTCATCAGTCCTGGCGGATGAAAACAGGCAAGATGTCATTTGTTAGTAACTTCTAAACAAAACCCACTTCTATAAAGGACAAACTTGTCCTTTAATTATCTCGTGTTTTCAGAGTTCACTTGGTCCACAGCTACATCACTTGATGAGCTTCAACCATCTGTTAAAACAATACGTCAATAATAACATTCATGTTTCCTCGACCCTGTTGGTGACAAAAAGAGTGGCAGCAAAGGTCAACGTTTACAAGAGTAGTGAGACCAGCTGTGTTGTATGGTCTGGAGACAGAGACAAGGACAAAAAGACAAGAGACAGAACTGGAAGTGGCAGAAATAAAGATGTTGAGGTTCTCCTTAGGAGTGACAAGGACGGATAAGATTAGGAATGAGATCATCAGAGGTACAGCACAGGTGGAACAACTGGGAGATAAAGTTAGAGAGGACATGCTGAGATGGTTTGGACATGTCCAGAGGAGGGACAGTGGGTATACTGGTAGAAGGATGTTAGAAATGCAGCTGCCAGAAATAAAATACAAAGAGGAGATACATGGATGTGGTTAGAGAGGACATGGAGTGAGATGAAGGAGTCGCTGTGCAGACCCCTGAAGAAGGAAAAGCCAAAAGAACGAGGAGTAGCTCCTGGAACCTTGTTTAAAGAAATGAACAAAGAAAATAACTGTGATATTTATAGGCCCTGCTGTCATCATGTTGGACATTAAATCTTTAACATCACAACGCACAAAGTGCACGTCTGAAAGAAAAGAGCTGAAAAAGACGTGCATGCCTGGGCTCAGCTCTGTTCCACTGACCGACCTCACGCTGGCGTCACTGAATTATAAACATTTTTGCTTCATTTTCTTTCTCATCAATCAAGACCGCCTTATAATCTAGTGGGGGGGGGGGGGTGCTACTGTTTCCATTTGATGGTTGCCATTTTATTTTAATTTGTAATAAATAAATACATTTGTATGCCTCTCTTATGACTGTCTATTGTTGTCTTCACACTTTAGCCGTATTTGCAGGGGATTAGTTTGACCCAAGGACCAGAGGAATCTCCCCAACGTCTGCTTTCTATGTGGCGCATTCGCACGGGATAACTAAAGCCTGAGATTTAGCTGAAATTTACGGACATCTTCCGGAGATGATGTTAACACGCTGCGTTGTCACGAGCGGGCCGGTCCAGAATAATGTGCGGGCCGGTCTCAGACTTTGATGTGGTTTTACGAATCAGCACTAAAGAAAACTAAAGAATGCACAATATAAAATTGTGTTAATCTACTTGAGGAGGAGGCGGGTCTGACCGGCCGGTTTAAGAGGTAATAAAAAGCCACGTTAAACTCAGATGGACAGCTGTCACCAGCTGTGCACGAGAGCGTCTGCTGACCCGCCGGTTGAAATGGACTGGAGACCTGTCCAGGGTGTCCCCCACCTCTCGCACAGTGATGGCTGGATAAAGGCACTAGTGACCCCCGCTACCCAAAAAGGAAGAAGTGGGTAAATATATGGATGGACAGAGGGGTCAGTTGATCACGCGTGTGTCTCCGCACCTCCTGTCAACTGCGGTGAAGGAAGTAAAGCCGAAGCGAAAAAGAAAAATACATAAAAAATAAAAAATAGCCAAAGCGAGCAGCGCGTTCATTTAAAACAGCCTTGTTCTATATTTTTCCCAAATGATTTTGCTTAAACAAAAACAAAAAGCACCTCATTACGTATCGGGTCCTGCTCATTTCTGTCCAAGTCACAGAGGTGCCCATTTACAT